GGTATTGGTGAGAAAAAGTCAGTTGGATGGTCTCAAGGCTGCAAGTCTCTTTGTAGTTGTGAGCTGGACTGGGTAGTTGCTGCTGTTTTCTGTAAAATGGGAAGAAACTTAAAGCACTGTGAAAGGACAGCTAGGTTAAGTAAGTTGTCCTCCAGAGTCAATCAATCAATCAGAATAGAGCTGGAAGGGACTTAGGCCAGCCCCCTGCTTGCCATTTCAGACAGCTGGCTGTTCAGTCTCTTCTTAAAAACCTCCAGTGTTGGAGCACCCACAACTTCTGGTGGCAAGCTGTTCCACTGGTTAATTGTCCTCACTGTCAGGAAGTTTCTCCTTAATTCCTGGTTGCTTCTCTCCTTGATGAGTTCCCCTTCGTTGCTTCTTGTCCTGCATCCTGGTGCAAGACAAGAAACGACGGATGGAAACTAATCAAGGAGAGGGGGGGAAAAAAATCAAGTTGCATTCCCAGAAATCATTGGAGCCCAGTCAGCTCCACCACAGATTTGTCTCTTCTCTCCCCATCCCGTCCTATCCTTCTCAGTGGTTTCCATCGAAGATCCCTTTGACCAGGATGACTGGCCCGCCTGGAAGAAGTTCACGGCCGAGTCGGGGATCCAAGTGGTGGGGGATGACCTGACGGTGACCAACCCCAAACGCATCAGCAAAGCGGTGCAGGAGAAGTCCTGCAACTGCCTTCTCCTCAAAGTGAACCAGATTGGATCGGTCACCGAGTCGCTGCAAGCGTAAGTCTTGGGGGGGGGGGGGAGGCCAGCCGGCCAGACCTGGCGAAACTCTGGAGATCTCAAAAAGGGGTTCATAAATGAGAATACAGGTGGTCCTCGACTTAACCGTTCGTTTAGTGACCGTTCCAGGCATTAAATTGGGTTTAAAATCTCGTGACGTACAAACCGTGAGAAAGAACTACTGGGAAATCCTTTCGACGTTAGGAGAGCACTGGAAAAATTGACTTAAGGTTGTTTTTCATACTCAATGGCCCTTAGGCATTCCTTATAGTCACATGATCAAAATTCAGCATCCCCCGTTAGTTGCAAAGTCACCCAAGTGCCTGGTTTGATCTTGGCTTGCTGCTTTGAAAAAAAAAAATCACCCTGTGGTCTTCTTTCTTCTCCTTTTTAGCTGCAAGCTGGCCCAGTCCAAGGGGTGGGGAGTGATGGTGAGCCATCGCTCCGGAGAGACGGAAGACACCTTCATTGCGGATTTGGTGGTTGGCCTCTGCACTGGACAGGTGAGGCTTTGCCTGCCCCAAAGGTTGCTGTGGGGGGGAGAAATTGGTGGTCATGCATGTGACCAGTCGTGGTTTGCGAAACAAGCCATGATGTGGCATGCATTTGGGGGGCTTTGTGTGATGCACTGCAATCTGGTGTCCTGCAGAATGTACAGCAGCCATTTTGAAGATGTGTGGACTGCGTAGCATAGCTGGCTGGGGGATTCTGGGAGTTGAAGTCCACACATCTTCAGAGTGGCTGTGGTGGAGAAACACGGGTGTATTGTTATGAGAATAATAGTTCTGTGGCTTGTTGGAGAAACTGGTTAGATCCTAGCTAAGTGGTCTCTGTTGTGACATGAAAACGACGCCATTGCTCGGTTCCTTGTCGACTCATATTCCTTGGTTTAATTTTTTTTTACCAGATTAAGACCGGTGCTCCTTGCCGATCCGAACGTCTTGCTAAATATAATCAGATTCTAAGGTAAGAGAAGTTTTTATAGGCTTGATATCTTTGGGGTCAAAGGCCAGCATAATCTGTGGTGGCTGTAAGAAATTGTTCTCTAAATCAAATTGTTCTCTAAAATTGGGATTCCTGTAAGATGTTCCAAGTTCTGTTCTATGCACTCGAGAGCGGTCGCAGAAGAAAAAACATTATTTTTATTTAAAACATTCAGGAAAGCACAGAAGAACAAAGAATTCAAAACAATAAAGTGAAAAAGGAAGGAAAACAATTGTTCTTCTTTCCGTCAAATCACTTTCTTATTTCCCCCTTTTGATCTTGATTGTCCTTGTTCTATAATTTTAAAAGCGTTAAACCACGTTTAATTTTAATGTTCATTTTTACAAGTTCTTTTGTTTATCACTTGGATTATATTGTCCCCTGCCGGAGCCCGTCTTTTGAGAGGAGATAGGTGGTTTAGAAATATGAAATTTTTCCATTTTAATTTCTCTCCTTCCTGAATGTAGACAGGTGAGCTCAGGCTAATGAGAATAGTAGTCCTAACAATTTTGCAGGAAGTGATGTAATGGTGGGGAATTCTGGTTGTTGAAGTCCACACCGATTAAAGTAGCCAAGGTGGAGAAACCTTGCTAAATTGTTGATGCAATGATTTTTTTTTTCCTCCCTATATTTCACTGGTGAGTCATCTTGCAGCCGACTCAACAGTTCATTTAATGACTGTTCCAAGTTACTTTACGACCATTTTTCACACTTAACGATCATTATAGCGTCCCCATGATGGCCGGGATGTGTTCAGAATCCAGACACTTGGCAGTTGACTGGCATTTATAACGGTTGCAATGTCGTCCTAGGATCATGCGATTCCCGGTTGCGGCCTGACAAGCGAGCCAGATTCTTTTAACAACCGCGTGACTTAACTTTTGAGCTGAGTTAGCGTGGGTACCTACATTTCTTGCTGGATTTTCAAGATGGTTTTCTTTCTTTCTTCTCCCCCCCCTTCCCCCCCGTCTAGAATCGAAGAGGAGCTGGGAAGCAAGGCTCGTTTTGCCGGCCGGAATTTCAGGAACCCCCGAATCAATTAAAAACAAGGAAGCTGTTGATGAGGCTCATTAGAGGAATACATTTAGTACCCTCTCCCCCTTAGCGCCTGCATCTTCGTAGCAAAGAAGGGTAGCTGATGAAAACGGTTCGATATTTGCAAGTCCTCCATCTTGTAATTCTTTTCCCCTCTCCTCATGCCTCCCTTCTTCTCTCCAGCTGCTGCTTTCAAGAAATGGGGTGTTGGGGGGGGGAACTTCAAGGCAGGATGGTTTGCTGGACCTGGGAGGGGAGCCCCCTCCAAATTATACTGTAAAGCATTTTTTTTTTTTTTGCTGCCTTTGCTTGAGATGCCAGAGTTTTTTTTTTCCCTTCTCTCTCTCTCTCACTCTGCTGCTCCCTTCCTATCCTTAATTTCTTCCCCACCTCCTCTTTAGTGTATGAAAAAGATTTGCAGGGCATCTGAGCTATCTGTTCACACACAGCCCCCCCCCCAATTCTCTTGTGAGGCAAATAAAACACAGAAACGCTGGTGTTGTTTTGTTGGTGGTGTTCTTTGGGGATGAGAAAGGGGAAAAGATCGAATCCCGTGCCTTGGTTTTGGAAGTGAAATTGAGGGTGGTGGGGAAAGGAAATGAACCGGTGGCTGCATTTTTGAGTCCAGGGCAAGGCTGGCGTATAAGCACCACGAATCCAGAAATGAATAAATAAAGTTAATGCAAATGGGCTTGTGGTTCTGCAGCTTCGTGGTGGCAAAGATATGGGTTTGGTTTGCCCGGGCTCGTTGGAAAGGAAGAGAAGAACTAGTTTCTTTGATCCTTGTTAGGGAATGGTGGTTTGTCTGCAGAGCTTTCTTGCTGGTGGCTGGGCTAAGCTGTAGTTAGGTAAAATAGCAATTTTAGCTGGGCTAAGCTGTAGTTAGATAAAATAGCAATTGTACAAGCTGCAAAGAAAGCCCTTGCTGTGGTCTGGTGCAGTTTTACTCTGGAGTAACTCCAGAAGCTGAGCAAGTGGATGGGACTACAATTCCCATCCACATGAGCAAAAATGACTACAACTCCCATTTGCGCTTGACAGCCACCTGCAATCTGGGACTGGCAATCTGGGTGGGCTGCAGGCTCCGTTCTCCCCAGAAAGGATGATTTCTTGAGCCAATGGTCATAGTCGCTTTGGCTGTCTTTTCTGATGGACTACAACCCCCATCACCCTTGGTGAAAGCAATTGGATGGGAAGAGGGTGGCAAGTCCCATCAGATGTCTCAAGGCTGCCTCCCCTGGCCTCTGTGGCCCAAACCCATGCAAAAGTAATTGGGGTCCCCCCCAGCCTCTATGATGACTACAATTCCCATCCTTCTGCCCCACGTGCACTCCAAATCCTTGCAAAACGAGCCTGGCCTTTCAGCCAGTTTTTTCTGGCCTGGGCTACAACTTCCTAGCGCCCTAACTACATGTACCATCATTCACAGCAAGCTTTCGTCCAGCCCCATCATTCCCTGCACCCCAGGGGTGTTGGGACTACAACTCCTATCTTGAGATCTGTGCCTTGGGGTGTGTGGGGTGTCTTCCCAGATTCCCCTTTCATGGATCCTAGCATCCTTCTGTCGTTCCCAGCATCCCCCGCGTGGGACTACAATCCCCATCCACACGAAGCGAAGGACTACAAGTCCCGTCATCCCCGGTGCCGCAGCTCCCTTTCTCTGTTGAGACGGGATAAATTTCCATTTATCCCATCTTTTTTTTGTGGGACTACACATCCCATCATCCCCCCGGCGCGGCGCTCCTGCTCGGCCGGACTACGGATCCCATTGTCCCCCGCCTTATAGAGGTGGACGGGCGCCGCCTTCCCCGACCCGCCTGCAGGGGGCGCGCCGGGCGGAGATCCACCAATCGCCGCCGCGGGGCAGGATGACGCCCCGCCCTTCTCTCGCCCGCCCCTGCTCTCCCTTCGGACCAATCCGGAGCGCCCTCCGCTTCCCTTCTCCCTTCTCCCTCCCCTTCTCCGCCACCTTTTTTTTTTTTTTAATTTGTGTCTGTGTGTGTGTTTGAAAGGTCCCTCCCCCTTCGAAACGGACTTCTCCAATCCTCGGCGCCGATTGGCCGCGCGGCTGCTTTGGTACAAGGGGGAGGTCACGAGGCGGGCTCCTCCTCCTCCCTCCGCCCCTCCTCCTCGCGCCCTCCCTCTCGTGCTTGGACGGGCGCGAGAAGACGCGCCGGGCCGGGCCGGCCAATCAGGAGGCGCCTTACTGGCAGGTGGAGCGGGCCTGTCTGGGGGGTGGTTGCTGGGTGTCTCTCTGGTGGTGTGTGTGTGTGTGTTTCTGTGTCTGAGGGGAAAGAGGCGGCGGAGGAGGGAGAAGCCGGAGCCGGAGGGAGAAGCCGACGCCGCCGAAGGGGGCAGGAATAAAGCCGGGGAGAAGACGGAGGAGGCGGAGAATAAAACCCTGAGGAGACATTTGCCGGCTCTTTCCCTTCCTTTCACGCCCCCCCCCCTCAACGGTGTGGCCCCCTCGGCCTGGTGGGCGAGCGCGCCTCAAGCAGAGCAGGCCGGAGAGAGTGAGAGAGAGGAGGGGGCGCCTGGAGTGCACTGGCCCCTCCCCTCCTCTCCTCCCCCTCAGCCCTGCCCCCCTCCCGGCTCGCCCCCCCTTTAATACTTGAGCACATTAGCTCCTCCCACAACAGTCTCGCCAACAGCCCCCCCGCCGTTAACATGCAAAGGGACCCCACCTCCTAAGCACCCAGCCCCCAGTTGCAGCAGCCCCCCTCTTTTTCCCCCCACCCTTGCTTTGTGGCTGGGGAGGGGGCCCTTGGGAGCCCTCTTCGCCACTTTCTGCCCCTCCAGGACCCCCACCCACATCTTCAGGGTGCCCATTTTGGTACCCCCATCTCCAGCCACCCATTGCACCCCCCCACCCCCACTAGCCTCTTCCCTCTTGGCTGCTCGCTTCCCCTCTCCTGGCCCCCCCCTCTTTTTTTTTTTAAAAAAAACCTTGCTTGGGGTCTCCTCAGCCTCCCTCCCTCTCTGCCCCCACCCCCTTCCAGAGAAAACCCTACTGATGGTGTGAATCGGGAGGAGAAGGTAAGTAAGTTAGGGAGCTGGCTTGATGGCTTTTGTTTAAGGGCTAGTTTTCTCCTTCCTTTTTTAATGGAGGAAAGATTGGGGGAGGAAAGGGAAGGTTTTTGTTGTGCACAGACCCTGTTTATGCTTAGGGCTTGTTTATATGTTTACACTTTTAAAAAAAAAAGAGTAGGAAACTAAACGTTTTGTTCTTTGAAATGTCATTGGAGAGGCAGGGCAGCCCGACCTACTAAAGCTTTTCTATTTGGGGTGCTTTTTTTTTTCCTTCTTGCCCCCCCCTTCCCCACCTCTTGCCCCCATACAGCCTCTGTAGGACTCTATTTTCCCCCTCTGTTGTGAATCAGAATGAGAGTGCTGTGCTTCAGATTCCTTTAAAAATGGCAATCCCTGTGGATGAAAATGGAAAAAAAGAGGTTAATATTGCTATGTGTTTCTCCTACATGAAGGGTTTTACATTTTTGTCAGATGGGAGGTTGTGCCTGTTAAGGAAAGGTAAATAATATTATTTTGAGTGCATCTTCAGAAGAGACCTGCAGAAAAGGATATTCACCCTGTCTTAAGTCAAGCATGGGGCGTCTCAAAGTTATTTTTTTTCTGCTGTTTTCCTTTTCCAATAAGCAGTTAATAATCCTGAGTGTGGTGGAAGAAACCCAGTTAGGAATTGTGGCAAGGGAAGAGTTTAACCTGTGCCCTGTTTGAAAGTTGTGTGCATATACAAAGCTCTGGTTGCCTTAAGGGAAATACGTTTTATTGTGGTTAAGATGTTTTATGTTTTTTTAAAAAAAACTTAATCTCTTAACCAGGAAATCACTGCACACCTGCTAAAGTTATGTATCTGAATTGATTGCTCCTGTCTTCATTGGCTTCCTCTTTTTAAAGTTGAAAAGATATTTTGGGGGAGAAAAAAAAGAGAGGTCAAAAAAAGTGCAGAGTTTCAGCTTCTAAAAAGTTGGCTGTAAAAAACAAAAACAAAGTGATTCATCCATTCACTGAAGCATGTGGTTGAGTTTATTTTTGAACACCAGCATGCTTTTGGTTTTAATTTTACTTGACTGGCTTTGCCTGTGAATAGTTGCATCCCTTGACATTATATAATGATGGCAATTTTACAAATCGTTTGGCTCCGTTTCTGATCTATTTTGCTGGTGCCAGAATTATTTTCTACATGATATAAATATTGAGCTTCTGATTTAAAAAAAAATGTACGTCAGGGATTTAGCACGCTTTTTCTTTTTTTACCTCTAATAGTAAAAAAAACAAAATGATCCTCAAATGCACTGTGTACTGTAACAAGAAATATTTGTTCAGCTAGCGTGAACTTGACTGAATTGCAGAATTACAGTGTATGCTACCTGTATTGCTAACAATTTATTGTCAACTGCTAAGGCGGGTGCTAAAATATATTTCATTTCATTCATTCTGATGTGTTTGATGTGCTTTTTGTATGCAAAGCATACAAAATGTGTTAAAATGTGTTTTTAAACTGTTTTTCACAAATATAAGGTGCTGGAAGGATGCAGGAGAAACAAGGGGAGGGAATTTTTATGTATGATTTTTTTTTTGTTTTGGTCTAAAGTTTGTCTGATAATTTGTTTGCCACCTTTTTTGATATTGATGTTCTGATTTGGGGGGGCTGTCCTGGTAACTCTGTTAGTTGCTGAGGAGTAGGAAAAAAAAAAAGAGAGAGACATACCTTGGGTTGCCTAGAGTGGAGATCTTATTTGTTCACTCACAATTGACCCATACTTGTACTACTCTATGGCCTTTTTTTTTTTTTACAGGGCTAAAAACAACCATTGAGGTGAGAGGTATGGAAGAAAACAATCACAAAGGGCTCTTCCCTTTTTTTCATAGATCTGACTATACCTCCTCTTTCAAACTTAATTTTGATGAGAGATTGTGTTGGTCTTATGACCACAGCTAGAGTCCAAAATTTCCACTGCTAAGCATGGCAGTTGTTAACTGAGCTTTGCCCCATTTTATTTATTTATTTATTTATTTTATTTATGAGACTTATATACCGCTTTAAGTGCAAGCACTCTCTAAGCGGTGTACACCAGTAAGCAATGTATATATATATTTACATTGCCCCCAACAATCTGGGTCCTCATTTTACCTACCCTGGAAGGATGGATTTATGACCTTTTCTTGCCCCGGTTGTTAAGTGACTCATTTGGCCGTTCAGCCAGTCTGGCTTCCAACTGTCTTAACTACATGCCAGTTGCCGAGCGTCTAAATTTTGATCACATGACCGTGGGGAAATGCTGCAGTGATTTGTAAGCGTGACAAAGAGTCCTAAGTCACTTCCAACGCTCACTAAATGAATAGTTGTGTGTCAATGACTGCCTGTTGTAACTTTTACACGTCCAGAGGTGAAGGACTGTCTCTTCACTCCAGGCCCGAATATTTTGATTTTGATAAGGGATGGCAAGCTACCTATTTTGCAGAATATAGCAAAGGTGTCTCAGAGGCAGCTAGGTAGTGGAGAAGGTGCTGTGTTAGTAAACCACTCTCCCTCAAACGGGGGTCCTGGGACATTCTAGCTTACAATTCTCTTAAGTCCAACTTCTATGGAAAGATACTGAGACTTGTAGGACAATAGATTATGTGCACAGCTTTGCTTTAAATGAACAGAAAATCAGGTCAGGCTATCACGCAATATCCTGTTTTGGCCAGTGCGAGGTGGAGATTGGTTCCCGCTGAAATTGATTGCTCTGTTTTGTGTGTAGCGTGTTTCACTTTGCCAGGGGCTCCCTCTTTCAATCGAGAGCCGGCTAGTCCCATTTTATGGGGGGGAAAGGGAGCAGGAGGGACTCCGATGACTTTTTAAAAAGCATTCTTGGTTAAGCTGGGACTTGTAAATCCCAGCGTCCCGTTTTGTAATTTCCTGGTTGTCTATAGTCTTTGCATTCCCTTGAAATTCATGGTTTCCTATAATTTTTCCACACTTGTACTCTGCTTCTTCTTCCCAGTAAGACATGGTCTGCAAATCCTGGTATCTTAGTATATCTGATGTTGTCAGAATTAGTGTACAGCTTTAGGGATTATATGCTTGCTGGGTTCATATGATGACGCTAACCCTATAAGTCAGGCTGAGGCTCCATGTCTTTAATTTTGGTTTCTGATATCTAGCCCTAAAACATTTACAGAAGTGACCTCTCTTCAGTTTTATGTTATCTTCTAGCATGGTGATCTGTGAATATGTGATTAACTGTGGGGTCCTTGGTGCTCTCTGAGCTTGGTGGTTTTCTTGCAGATGTTTCATTACCCAACTAGGTAACATCCTCAGTGCTACAAAGGAAGAGGAGGACTGTGAGGTCCTTGGTGCTCTCTGAGCTTGGCAGGTTTTCTTGCAGACGTTTCATGACCCAGTCTAGGCAATATCATCAGTGCTAGAAAGGAGTGAAGTTTGCAGAGTGGAGGAGGAGAAGGAGGAGGAGGATTATGGGGTCCTTGGTGCTCTCTGAGCTTGGTGGTTTTCTTGCAGACGTTTTATTACCAAACTAGCTAACATAATCAGTGTTAGAAGGGAGTGGAGTGTGGGAGGAAAAGGAGGGGAGGGGGAGGAGGACAACGACTGTGGGGTCATTAGAGCTCTCTGAGCTTGGTGGTTTTCTTGCAGACGTCTCATTACCCAACTAGGTAACCTCATCAGGGCACTGATGATGTTACTAGTTTGGTAATGAAACATCTGCAAGAAAACCACGAAGCTCAGAGAGCACCAAGGACCCCACATTTTAGCCCTGAGCTGCAGATATCTCAGGATAAACTTGTGAAGCAAGAATACCTGTACTTTGTAGTTATGTTGATGTTGAATATTCCTGCGTGAGTGTTCTTGGTTAAGAAAATACAAAGAGTACTCTGCTGGGACAGATTAAAAAGCTTAGCTAGCTTGCCTGCCTGGCATTAGAGAGTCCATTCTCCTTACATCTGGAGGCCACCAAACAGAATTTATGTTAAGTAGTTCCACAGGATACAGGCTTGGCCTGAAGGGTTGTGCTTTCTATTACATCTTTCCAGGTTGAAAATGTCTATTTTTCTACTTCGCTTTTGTGACTCCCGTTATGTTTCTTATCTTCCAAGCATTCCTGGCTTCTCTTCAGATACACCTCAGTAGCCTGTGGCAACGTATGACAAATAATCAACTTTATCTCCTTCTAATGGAGATAAAGTCTAGGCTTTGCTAGTACACAGATTCCTTTCGGCTCAAGTTCATAACCCATTTTTTGGTCTAACATTTGTTGCGCCTCTTCTCGCCTCCTTTATGCCTTGTTTGTTGGCTAGGCTGTCTTTGTAGAGCTTGTCGTTGCAACATGTGCTGTCCAACAACAGTAGATCAGGAGAGAACTATATTGGACGGCGTGCAAATGTGTTTTGAGTTTTCTCTGGCATTTGTCATCTGACTGGTGGGGGTGTTGCAGCGAGCTTCAATAAGATTGGGTTTTTCTTTTGAAGATTTTAATTCTCTTGGGGTTCCCTTGCCTTGGTGAAAGCCTTGCAACTATTTCATCCAACGTGAACTTCACCGACAATTCATTGGCTTCATCTTTGGGTCCTGCCTCTGAAGGTGGAGGATTTTATTGCACCACTGGAGCTAATAACCATCTTTAGAAGCAGTGCCAGATATTATAATACAGGGGTCTTCCAACTTGGCCCTTCGATGACTTGTGGACTTCAACTCCCAGAATTCCTCAGTCAGGCATTGCAGACAGTTAATTACCAAACTGGGCAATATCATCTGTGCACAACACATCATTTCCACTGATGATGTTACCTAGTTGGGTAATGAAATGTCTGCAAAAAAACCCCCACAAGTTCAGAGAGCACCACGAACCCCAGAATTCAACCCCGAGCAACCTTCTCTTCAATTAGCTTTGAGCTGCTTGGAGAAAAGCAACAATTTTAAGAGTTACCTTAAATTTTATAGATAAAATGAGTGACAATTAAAGCCAATTCATTCATCTCTAGAATTCTGGGGTAACTTCCCATTACCTCTGCAG